AATAAATCCAACAACTGTCAGGAGCTGCTTGCAATACTGCAACAGCAATTCAAGATACAGAATAACAGTATGAAGCAGATGAGATAGTGAGGTCTACTGTTCATTACTGGGTAGTTCATTACTGGTACAGTGTTGGCATGTGGGTAGATTACAAAATACTATGCTAGACAAAAAANCCACTTACCTCAGTGCTCTTCTCAGCTGTACCTTTTAATCTTAGTTTTGTTGCTATATTCTAGGATTTTTTTTTTTCCTCCTGTATACAGCAAAACATGCAGCAAATAATCTGTGGTCATCCAGACCACACACTTCTGTAGGGTAGCACAGTGGCTGAGGATGCTTAAATGCTGACTGTAATGGATCTAGTGCCAGAAGAATAACCTGTATAGTCGATCTGACATTTTTAGCCAGAAGCAGAGAAGAAGACTTTCCCTTTACCAAAGGATGCTCTGGAATCACTTAGGTACGTTGTGCGCTGCACTAATGGCCTGATTACCTCTTGTGGCTTAAAATTTAGTGAATAATTGTAATAAAATGTTCCTTTTTATCACAAAATACTAAAAAAAAAAAAAAAAAAAGAAAAGCCAGTTATTACATGTTTAGCTTTTTTAAAATATTTTTAATCAATAATTATAAACTGTAAAAATACACCCTAATTCACTACAATACTATGCCCTGAGAAGTAACATTACACACTAAGCAAAAGCCACTAGGAAGTGTCAGGTCTGCAGCTCAAAAGCGTAATATATGGAATTTTCTGGAAGCATATTTCCTCCATTTTTCAGCAACAGAGTTGCTTCTTCAGAGGAAAAGACTAATGAAAATTCATGCTAATTCTAGTTTTTCTAGCTTTAACTACAAGATTTTTTTTTCCTTTTTCCTTCAAACTCTCTCTGGAAAACCTGATGGATTCATTGACAAAAGCTTTTGCTTTTCACATCTGAAAGAGCATATAGGGCTAGCATGAGGTTCTGAAATAACTGAGCCTGATGAGCTCCACTTAAGGACATCAGTCAAAGAACTATTTGGGAGGTAGTCAGAGTTACTCAAACACAAAATGAGGCCACCTCACCAATCCTTTGCTACATTCTTCTTTGCTGGTTGGAAGAACAGAGAAGAGGCTGAGAAGAAACATACCTCTGTGTACAAAGGGAAAATTATAGACAGGGACACTGAACTTCCTTTCAAACTACATTGAATGTTAAGTGCATTTGAGAATTGGTGAGTTACACCCTCTTCTTTGTATCTGACACTGATAAAACAGAAAGATATAATTATAGATATCTCTCATCACCCAGTGAGTGCAAAGATGCATTTAGAAGTGACATCTACGTTTCAGTGTCAGTTTACTTATTTTTCCAAAATTGCTCTACAAGATACAATTCAGCAGTTGTGGGTTTTTCTCCCCACATTGTAAGTGCAATGGTTCACCTCCTACTAGATTAAAAAAAAAAAAACAAACCAAAAAGCACTCTTCCCTTACAGAAGCAAAACAAAACTAAGCAAACAACAACTTGTCCAAAAATTTAATCATCATATCTCTAAGCAGTCACAACTTAAAATTATTCTCTGGTACTCACATTTTGCTCAGTTATTATATAGTTTTGGAAAAGTATGCTTTTTGAGTCTGGTTATGCAGACAAACCTTTCCAAAACACTTTGTTTCTGTTCATCAGTATTATACAGTACTGTTTTTAAAATTTATTACCTATCTACTTAGGAAAAAAAAAACACTCCCATCCATAAAGTCTAGCTACACATTCTAATTAAGCAGCACTAGAACAAAACTGGAAATGCCAGAAATTTTGATTATAAGACAAAAATCTAAGCTTTCCCACTATATGAACACTTTGCTTATTTGTCTTAAATTACATACAAGGTAATTAATCAAATAGTATAAACTGACAAGGTATTTTATCCCCTATTTAAATGACGTGGATTTTGTTGTATAAAGAATATGTAAGCAGTCAATAAAACACGAATACGCAGACATGAGTACATTAAGAATAATAATCAGAGCAGCTATAATACTGTGTTCCAATAACTTCATACAAGTTTGTTATTGTAGCTATTTTTAATGCTGCGTGTTTCTCCAGTGACTGTAACACACAAGACAAACAAAATGCCAGTGAAATAACAGTTACTGTATTTAGCAGCTGAGAATTTACCACTTAGAAACATGATTCCTTCTATTCCAAATTCTGTAGTTTCAAATTACATTTGTTCCTCGAAACCCTTTGTTTCTAGTACAAACAAATTTCTACAAAGACTAATCCAGTGAAAAAAACGAATCCATTCAAATTACACATACTACAGCAGAAGACGAAATTAGGAAAGATGCTGAACTTTACATGAAGATGTTTAAAGACGTACAAAGTTTGATTTTATATTTGAAGGAACGTCAGAGAGTGAGAGCCTTGTATTCTGCAGCTTCTGCTGGACAATTTCTCTGCAGGAATGTTCACCGATTAAATTTTTAGTCTCTGATCTCTGAAACACAAAACAGCTGAAATGCCTTATGTAAAGTAGCCATGCTCAGAATGTTAACTACCAATGGCCTAAAGCCACTTTGTTTTTTTTTAAGCAGTGCCCAACCGAGACTCTGTAGGAACACCAAGTGGCTAGACAGGTATGCTGCAAAGATCATAGTTACAGAACTTCACATCAGCTTTGAGCTTAATGCAGTATCTTAGAAGTACCTCTTCAACCATTTCATTCATGATGCTTTAGGACACTGACAGTTTAGCAATTTAGATATTATTTTCCTTTTTCATATAAAATGTAGTTACCATTAAAAAGTTAAAGCTCAAATTTAACAACTTACTGTTCGCATTTCCTTCAAACAGAAAGATATTATTTGTTTCAATTTCACTATTTAGTTTTCAGGTCTGCTAACATTTCTAAATGTAACTATTCTAACTGGATTTTAAAAATAGAGTGCAGAGGAATATTTCTATCAGGTGCAGACTTTAAAAACCCACACTTATGAGTTATACTACAGCTATCAGTGTTTTGCAAAAGTAGTAAGAATTTCAGCACCATCTCTAATCAGCGATCTAAAACTCTTAGTTCCAAGTACTAAAATTCAATGCATCTCTATTACAGGACCAAATCTTGTCGTCCTACAAGAATGCATCACTTCTGCTGACATGAATAGGGACTACACATGTATATGTGGGCACCTGCTTAAATGTTTATGATGTCAAGTTCAAAAGCACAGAACTTCCATAGTACAGCTCTAAGAATGCAAACTAAGACTCCAGATTATAGGCTGGAAGAACTATATAATGAGTTTAAAGTCAGATTCTAATATTAGTATTTTCTTATGAAACCCTCTGTCATTTCAGTGCAAGAAGAGAGAACCTCCTCCCTTCCACAGTTCAAGAAATGTTTCTTATCATGCTCCCACTTCTGAGATTGCTCCTGTCACTAATATTTTTCTCATAAACAGGTAATTTTTGCCATGGTAAACAGAACACAAAAATACATTATTAAGTAACCTAGAACCAAGAACCTGATCTTTAACACATTGCTTCCTTGACTTCACACTTCAATGGGATACTGTTAATCAAGCTGATCCAGGCTACTACACATACTTTAATGCATCATCCATATTCAATAAACATCAGGTCCCCTGGGATGTGAAGAAGTTCTTAAGTTCAGACTCCTGTTTGTACTTGGACCTACCCATGTCAGTGATCACTGAGGCAACATCTTATGACACAACTATCCTCTCAAGCCAATCCCACACCTCCTTCAGACAACAATTATATTCTTCTGCAACTAAAACCATCAACCAAAACACCACTGCATCCCACAGCACCTCAAAGCTAACGACCACGTAATCCATCCATACCTATGAAGAGGCAGGGGTGGATGACTTCTGAGACAAAGCTTTGATATGGAGATGCTCAAGCCTAGATCAGTCTTATATATGTACTGTAAACAGAACAGTGTACATTTAGAAATGTCATTGTTAGCCACTTTGTGCCTGAAATGAATCATGAACATACTCTCAAAGACTTCAGGTGGTCTGTTTTCATTTTGAAATGCAAGAGTAAACTCCATTCGTCAAACTATTTAGAAGTACAGGAACTTCACATTTCGAGTGCTTTTTTGATTCAAAGTGACATCTTTTGAACAGGCTACCTGTGATTTTTCCTCCCTCATTGTTTCTCTCTCTGCCCAACAGAAACAGCATCTTGAAACTTATAGTCAAGAGGCATTTGGGGCAGGAGATAAATAAAGCAATTATGGCAAGGACAGTAACTTGAAAATCTAATCCCCTCAGAGAATGGTCTGCTTTTAAATAAGGCAATCTTGCCATTGTATAGACTTCTACAGTTGTAGAATGTTTTCCCTGGGTCTGTGGACCAGCACAATTCTACTAGTGTCAAAAATCCCTTTTACAGACAAGTTCTAAGGAAATTATAAAATACACCATTGATATTTTATTTCAAATTCCCTTATAACTTACAGCAGTGTAAACAGAGATGTATGGTTTAAGTAGAGCTTTTCCTTAAGAGTAAAAAAGGAAGAAAAAAAAGAAACCAAAGACTGAAGCTCTTCAAAAGAACAAAAGGGAAGAGTTAGCTCCCTCCTCTTGCTGTCACTTTTTTTTTTAACTGTACAGTCTCAATGATCAGTTGGAAGAGCTACTTTTTACTCCCTCCAATATTGGCCTTGTATGGTCTTGGCTAAGTACAAGTTACTGATGTGTGATTTAGCAGGATGAGAATCTGTAGTGTAAATAAGACATTAAGAAATGTGTATCAAGTAATTAATTTTGGATTAATGAGATAAAATAAATAAATAAACACCAAGTAAGAAATGAAGGTAAAGTGGTCTGTTTTAAGAAAATATTTTCAAATACAGCTCTAACTGTGGATGAACTTGTGTTTGAACTATTTTCTGCCACATTTTCCTGTATCTGCTTATCAAGATTTCAACCTTATAGACCTTCCTATGAAGTTAACATGACAATTAATAAGCAAACATAAACCCAGTTAAAACAGTAAAAGGCGTGACAGCTCCAAAACTGTTATCGGAGCCCTCAGAAAGAAATACTGTATTCTGGTGTTCTACCAAAGACTACTATACAAAAATAATAGCACTCATCGAATACAGTCGGGATCCAATAAGGTATTAGCATGATGCTATACAGGAGTAAACTGGGAACGGGTTTAGCTGATACTGACAGATTCTCCCATTCTTTTTTCAGACACACTGTTTCACAAGCATTTCAAACTTTTCTTCTTTTACCTCCATTTCTTTTTTTTAAGTCCACCTTAATGCAGAAGTAAAGAAAAAAAGAAATATCACTGTAGGAAGCTGATAAGAGTGATTTCTTAGAGAGATTAAGTAACAAACTGCATTTGCTTAATAAAAATGTATGCCAGTTCTTTAATAAAGTGACAAACTTCTACTCTGAAAATTATCTTTAGGACTGACCATCAAAAGAGAGATAAACACAGAATTAGCTAACACTTGCAACCAAGACATGCATTGTGTCTGAAAAGAGAATATTGCACTAAGAGAAGAACCCTGAAAGCTTTAAACACCTCCTTCACTGACCTAAAAAAGTAACTAACCATTTTCTATAAGCAGTAGCAAACCTGGCTTGGTCCACATCCCTACAAGTTGATAATACTTTATCTACAAACCGGTATTCCATTTCTGGACCAAGAGAGTCCTGCACAGGAGCACGCTTCAGGCGTTTTGTTTCTTGAGTATAACCTTGTTTGCTGCTGGATTCATTCAAACCATCAACATCCATAGCTTGTGCCATATGACTTGCTGCAGGACTACGGTGGGAATTATTCAGACTTTCATCACTGCTGTCCACAGATGATACCACTGCACCCACGAGAGGAAGTTTGTTACTTAAGTGCTGTTGAAGGTAGAATACACACCTTCTTCAAAGGAAAAGAAGAAAGAAAAAAAAAGAAAGTCATGCACTGAAAATAACCTGCTGTTGCTGCTGAACTGTTTCAATTCGTCTGCCATCCCTCACAGATTTCCCTCACAGACACAAAATCTGCTCTGTCTGAGCACGCTGTAATAGAAAGGGCTCCCCATGCCATTTTGGCAAATCTACTGTTACCTAGTCAAGAACCTGCACCCAGCTAATGAAACAAATATTTTATGCAGCCAATCTTCTGTCTACATTTTGTTCATTTTTTTGTTTAAATATTTAAAGTATGAGAAGGCTAATTAAAAGCATCCTGTGTCCCTTGCACAAATTATAGGGACAAGCAGAGCTTACACCGCAAGATATTTAAGCCAAATCAAATCTCCCACACAATAGTTCTGATTATGCTCTTGAACATTTTCCAAAGGCTTAATACATAGTAGCTTAAAAATATTTTATTGAGTGGTACTTCCTAAAACCAGAACAATTTGTTTGGAAATATCATGTGAAGAATCATCCACAAATCAGAAGGGAACTCTTTTGACCAAGTCCTCTTACCTATGACACCACAAGGTTTCATGCCCTGGGTAATTATCAATCAGTTCACTGCAGAGTTCCATCTCTTCATCTAAACGACGGGGGAGATCCACGCTTTGTTCCTCTGCACAGGTAGCTTCTGTCTCTGCACTCTCTTCCTCCTTCTGAAGGCTAGGGTTTTGTTCATTTACCATTTGGTTTTGTACCAGTGTGTTGTTGTCAGTCACCGTTCTGTGTATCAAGGAATTGAGTAAGAACTGGCGGTAATGAAATCCACTATGGTCTGAGACATGCATGGATACCCAACATTTAGTGGATGAAAGTTCATCGAGGAGAACCTGAAACAAAATGCAGTTATCAACCAGTATAAAGGAGGAACTTAACCACCGCTGCTTCTGGATTAAAGTAATCTCTTCTTTGGGGATTTCAGTCACTGTGGTAATGGTTTAAGAACACACAGAAAAATGAACTATCACTGAGCCTTTTCTACTGTGTGCTGAAAAGCACATTGGCATCCCTGCAGAAAACAAATCAATACTTCTTCCAAACTCTGAAAAGGCAGATTTTTCAGAAAGCTGCCCACAAGCTGAGTGGGGAAAAAAAACCCAAACCACTTTTGACACTGAAATAAACAGTGGTTTAAGAATCTCAAAATGTTTAGCAATAAATACTATTTAGAGGAAGTACCAATTACACTATTAGCTTTATTAATTTTACTTTTTACCTAGTGGCTTGTGGATGTCAGAAGGTAGATGAGTCACTTAAAAGGAAAAAAACCCAAACTTAATTTACTCCTTCATTTTCCATGAGAGGATGTCAACTATAACATTGTGTTTAAAGTCCTAGAGCCTGTGAAATACCAAAGTAGTTATTCATAACCTGGTAGCTTGATTTTACTACTGAAGAACCCCTAGAAAGGCTTTCAAAACAATTCTGGTAAATACTATAATTGCCAACTGTAGCTTTGTTTTTAACTGCTGGCTCCTATGAATTGTCTCTTAATTCTGAGTGCTTTTAAACCTTCAAAATTCATTTCTGGAGAGAAATGCAAGTTTGGCTCCCAGACAAAGCTTTTACTTTGCTTTGCTTTCTCTGTTAGAGCCAGTGGTTTGGTTTTTTGTTCACAGGCCTTAACCTCTTTCCTCACACTGCTTCTCCCCCGCAGCTTAAACTATCCAAAGAGATCAAAACTACCTTTTTCATTTACTTCTAAAGACTTTTGGAAGTAATCCTAATAATCTTATGGTATAGTCTCGCTTTTACCCTCTTCTCCTAAGCTACCTCCATCACTTAACAGGAATAACTGATGCAAAACAACTTCCATAGGTAGAAGTCTTTCTTTTAGATACTGCAGCACAAAAACCACAGCCTCCCACAAAGAAAACCATGGAAACGCACAAGGCTAGCTATATAGCTTTTTTGGGGGCATCTGTTCTAAAAGAAATTTGAGTAAATACAATGCAAACAGTGTCTTCTACCCATGACAGTCAACTCGTTTTTTTCTAAATCTTGCCAAAAGATACCAGCATCACCCTCCTTTTAGAGATCAGCAAAGTAGAGTATTAAGTAACAGTCCACACACCGGGCTCTTAAGGGAACTAAAATTCCATGTCTAGATCTGCACTTTAAACCGTAATATCAGCTTTTCCTTTCTTCATAGAGCTGAGCTTAGTATTTTAAACTTCTGAACTTTAAAATTTAGAAGTCTATTAAGAATAACATAACGCTCAGAAAAATCAGATCAGCCTTTATTCAGCTGTGATTGATACAACACACGTTTATGCTCAACTGAGACCTTGGAAGAATCCAATTCATTTATCTGAAATACTTATAAGCTAAAAATTTACAGGGGAACATCTTAATTATGTATTTTCACTCCCTGTACAAAGGGAACAAAATTATTCCCAGAACACCTCTTTTAAAAAAGCAACACAGGAGAGTGCCATGAAACAAAGCTTCCTATCTAGGAACCTTAGAGTACCAGTGGAAGATGCTTCTAACAACTGGAAGTAAAAGAAAAAGCCAGCTAATGTCTGAATTCCAAGATAATAAATCAAAATTCCAAGAATCTTTCTCTGTTACAAAGCCTGCTTTCTCCATTTCCATCTCTATCAGTACAAGCCCTTGTACAAGCCCCTTGCTACTTTCTGTGAAGAAAGAGGAAATTACATGAAAATACCTCCCTCCCCACTCTTGACAACCTCTTTTCTACCTCTGGTGGTGAGCTGACTACCATGGAACTGGCAGCTTCCCCCAGAATATGACATGTGTGCTCAGTGATCTTCATCTCAGCCTCTAGGTCTGCAGAGGAAATGCAGAAATTATTCCTCTGGGGAAATGTAAAGGAACTGGGGAAACAAATTTTTAAGGATAACCAGACAAATATAGGCAATGTCCACTCACAGAAACTAGTACCTTAGATGACCAGTACACCCAGTCGTCTAAGAAAAAGCCAAGGCCTTACTGGGGATGGCAGCAAGAAACACCACTTTGTGTTTTGTGAACATGTTGTCTTCTGGGTATCACACATGAGAAGTGCTGCCTCATGACAATTACCCCACTACTTGTTTGCTTGCTTGTTTTATTGTAGGGTCTGATCAGTCAACCTCCATCCTTTAATTATGAAATTGAGTATTCCAATCTAAAGAAAACAAAAAAAGTTTGTCAATCCCTCCTGAACTACATCCTATTTTTCTCTCTGCATGATTTCACTGAAGCAACACACTGTGAATGGATTTTAAGACTATACCCCTACTACTCTCTTGCCCTGGCTCTCTAACTAATTACGTACCCACCTTTTAGTAGGTATCTGGAGCCTATGATCTAACCCCACTAACTAACTGTGCAGTCACGTGAGAAAGCTGAAATTGGGCTTTCCAAGGCAGTACTCCAATACCAGATTGGATTGGACCCAATATTAGATTAGTTTCAAACAATCTATTCTTGATTTATGTTAATGAATACTATTTAAACACTACATAAACTTGCTAATACCATTCAAATAATGCAGCTAGAAAAATCTGAAATTTTTATATTGAAAGAAGATAATGTTTGTGACCATCTAGTGTAAGAAAGAAGAAACATCTATACCCTGTGAGAAAATCCTCCTACTGGGCCAAAACTTTCTTCTGTAACATTTTAAATCTTTTTGTCAGATTGGGCTGAGATTCAGTCTGCAATAGCATTAGGATTATAAGACCAAAGAAAAAAGAATAACCAAAATCCTATTACACAGCCTACCTCTTGAAATCCTCCAAAGCAACCCAATAGATTTGTTAATGATAAACCTGTTATCATTAACAGGATAAAAATGTTAATGAAAAAATGTCTCAAGAAGTCATATTTAAATGATAATACACGAAACAATTTATGTTTCTGGGCCTCTGCTTCTCTGTACACTTCATTACAGGAAAGGTTTGCATTACAGCAGAAATACAGCCATAAATAATACAGGTACTCCTTAATTTCAGGCAACCTTGCAAGAACTAAATGGCTGTAGAATCAGTGACTGTTTCTGCCACTTTTTCAGCATGGTTCCAATCTTGCATCTTGTTGAAATTTATCATACTTTTCAGATACTCAAACACAGAAATTGCTGAAGGAACATGAGCAAGAAAACCACCCCTGTTTAACAGAATGGTAGGGATGGGGTCAGAAAAGCCAAGGCAAAGCTGGAACAGGACTTGGCAAGAGGTGCAAATAACAAGATGGGATTGTGTAAGCTCACAGGTCACAAAAAATGACCAAGGAGAGTGTATGCTCCATGATAAGCAAGAATTGGTGGTAACTGATACGGAGAAAGCTGAAGTACAGAGTTGTCTCAGTCATCATTGGCAGTCAGGCCTTCCTCCCACTTCTCTCTAGTCCCTGATCCTCTAGATTCCTGTTGGGGAGAGTGAAGTCCCTCCCACTCTAAGCAAAGAGCAGGCTGAGAACCTTGAGGAAGCTGAACAGCCACAAGTCTATGGCATCTGAAGATCCACATTACAGAGTTCTGAGACAACTGGTTGATGTTGCCGAACCACTGCCTATCATATCTGAAGTCACGGTATTTAGGGGAAGTCCCCAGTGACTGGAAGAAGGGAAACACTGCTCCCATTTTTAAAAAAGGAAGAAAGGAAGACCCAGGGAACTGGAGACTGGTCAGGCCTACCTCTGTGGTTGGCAAGACCATGGCGCAGATCCTTCCAGAAGATAGGCTAAGACACATACAAGACAAGGAGGTGACATGAGGCAGCCAGCAATCGTGCCTGACCAATCTGGTGGCCTTCTATGACAGAGTGATAGCAGGGTCAACAACAGAAGAGGTCATGATGTCATGGGTATAGATGTGTAAGGCATTCAGTATGGGTTCCACATGACATCCTTACCTCCAAATTTTAGACAGATGGATTTGATGGAAGGTCTATTCAGTGGGTAAGGAACTGGCTGGATGGATGCAGCCAGAGAGGAGTGGTCAATGACTCTATGTCCAGGTGGAGACTGGTGATGAGTCCCTCAGGGCTGTTCCAGGACTGCTGCTTTTTAGTATCTCCATCAGTAACACACACAGTGGGATTAAGTGCACCCTCAGCATATTTGCAGATGACACAAAGCAGAGTGGCACAATTGACACAACAGAAAGGCGGGATGCTAGACATGGACATCTGGATGAACTTGAGAAACGGGCCCACGAGTTCAATAAATTGAAGTGCAAAGTGCTGCACTTAGGCTGGAGTAATCCCAGACGTGAGATGAAAAGTTGGACAAGAGCCAGCAATGCCCACTTGCAGCCCAGAAAACCAACTGCATCCTGGGCTGCATCAAAATCAGCTGGCTGAGGGAGGGGATTCTGCCTCTCTGGTTGAGGCTCCATCTAGAATGTTTTATCCAGCTTTAAGAGTCACCAGCATAAGGATGTGGATGCAGATCCAGAGAAGGGTGACAAAGACGCTGTGAAGACTGGAGTACCTCTGCTATTAGGACAGCCTGAGAATGCTGGTGTTGTTCAGGCTGGAGAAGAAAAGGCTCTGGCATGACCTCACTGTGGCCTCTCAGTACCTTAAGGGGACTTATAAAAAGGAGGGAGAGGGATTTTTTTTACATGACTATATAGTGACTGAACAAGAGGTAATGGTTAATGAAAGAGGGTGAGCTTAGATTAGATATTGGGGAAGAAATTCTTTACTGTGAGGGTGGTAAGGCACTGAAATAGGTTGCCCAAGAGAGGTTGCGAATGCCCTCCCCATTGAAGTACTCAAGGCTGGGCTGGATGGGGCCCTGAGCAACATGATCTAGTGAGTGGCACCCTTGCACATGGCAGGGTGGCTGGAATGAGATGGGAGGTACTTCCCAAGCCAAACCATTCTGTGATCTATGAACCCGCATATTTTTGTGAAAATCTGTAATGCCTGCTTTTTCCCTGTTCTTATTTGCTTTTCCCTTGCATCATATCTTGGAAACAATCACTGTATAATTCTGCCTCTTAAAGATACCTAGACACATTTTATCACAAGTTTCTTGCTGTCTTTTATGCTCCACACTTTTTCCTAATTTTCCTGTATCCCAAACACCTTCTACTAGGCCCTCTGATGAGATGCATAGGTGGTGTCATGAAAAACACCTAGAGCCAACATGGGGACTTCCCAATGGGTTAAACAGATTGGTGGAGAAACAACAACACCACCGAAATTTTGCCAGAGGTAACAGAAACCAGATGGACAACTCTAGACAGAACTATCACTTCCATAATCTTCATTCTGAAAAAATAAATCAGTAGGGGAAGTGGGATGGCAGGCAAAGTAAATGGATTTTGGAATGATCAAACAAATATAGAATACTTCCTTCACGGGCATGTTTGTGGTTTGTCACAAAAAGCACTCACAACTGACAAAGAATAAACTCTCCATAATAATTCCAGTTCTGCAAAGAGTTATTTCTATTACAATGTAATTATTTTTCTTTAATTAAATTAGTAAGGAATAGTGAGTGCAAAAAGCACTCAAGATGTGATCCTGATCCTCAGACTATTGTTACCAATATAGTGGACACAGAGCTGTTTAGAACTTGTTTTAAGGCACGGAATTAATTGAATTTTCTCTAACAGTGATAACTCCCTTACCCTTTTAGTAAGCTCTTGAAGATAATAAAGTTCCTGTTTTCTATTAATATAGACCTCTAACCCTAACTTCTAACCTCCAATCTATCTTAATCCCGCAATTCTTCTGTTTTCTGAAAACCACTTTTTCATATAGACTTGCTAGGCAGACAAGTCCAAATTTTGCCCTGTGTCTGCAATGGACATAAAAATAATGGCTATATTGACTCAACAATGTCCAGGAAATTCCTTACAACCTCATGTGGCAAAATGCAGCAGTTAAAAGTGAGTTATGTGTCACTGTATCAACCTAATATTCACAAAGAACTCACCCAGCCACTCAGAAAACATGGTATTACAAAACTGCCTATATCATTTTAGACCAAGTCACATTAACTAATTAAATTTGTTGCAGGTCTTGATGTTATAGATGACATTCAACACCACATAAAGTGTCCCCGCTGTCCCAGAAATAGTTTAATCAGCTCCCAGTGTAAATGCTGTCAAAAAGTACTGCTGGAACTGAAGAAATTAATTACAAGCACTACTATGCTTTCTCCAAAATTGATTCCTGCTGACTTTACTTCGTCCTTCAATATTCTGAAACCACAGGTAAGCTGAATAAGGGAGTCAATAAAATGATACTACATTATCAAAATAATATCTGTTACATATTACCTTTTTCCCCTACTAGGAATTTCAAGACTAGCGCTGGAAGAATTACTTAGAGTTGCCGAATCCTTACTTTGGCTCAAACAGTCCCATCTGCAGTCTTCCCACATATGAAGAGAGAAACAGAGCTTTGTACACAGGCAAGAAAAATGTGTTATTTCTGCTGAGCAGAAACTGCTTACACTGGTAAGAGAAATGCAAAACATATTCACTTCAAGATTTTGCCCACCTTCTTAAAACATTCTCTGCTACCTGTGATAACTTCACTTGATAGCCTTCATTCATGTTATACAAACTGCTTTCCAAACCAATATTTTGGTTTTTTGGACAAGAAAATTTAATAATTTATTCACTATTGTATTATACCTTGACAGTGAGCTTTGCCAAATGCTGTAAAACCCAGATGCGATGGGACCAGGCATTGTAGTTGCTTGGATATCTCCCAGCAGCTTCGGAGCAGACATTCATTTCCTCCTGCACTAGTCGGTGAATTCTCTCCACGGGTGCTGCTCCCAAATTTCCTTTAGTTGCAAGACTGGACAAGGAATTTTCCTGAATTAGCTGTTGCAGCACCCATCGTCTGGTTAAACAACGTAAAGTGTTAATAGTGAGCAATTTTAAGAGAAAAAAATGGTGTTTCATTTGCATACACCAAATCTTTCCAATATTTCTATTCTCTGAACTACACTGTAGCTAGGTAAGGGGTGAGTAATAAATAATCATCTGAACGCCTGCCGTGATAAAAGCTATGACACGATGACCACACTCCCAAAACAACTGTATCAGTTTGCTCACTTTAAGTGATCATGGCTACTTACAGCATAGTAAAATGAAACAGAAGTAAACAGCAAATTTATGAAACAGTGTAAGTAGTGTGTGCATGAAATTTCTAATAGGCTCCTCCTTCAAAGCCTTGCATAGCACTAAAATGAAGTACAAAAAGTGAGATAGAAAGAGTGATTTAATAAAAAATTAACTCTGCTTAATATCTTTAACATCTGACAGCACTCCACAATTCACATTTGTTTCCGTACATCAGCAGCAGTAGCGAAGTCCAAAAGGTTTATGGTTTCAAGGGTATAAACAATGTTTTTATTGATGAAGTACAGATTCCTAAATGTTTTGGTTTTTTTGTTTTATTTTGGACAAAGTTTTAGTAGTATTTGTAGATGCAACCTCAGTGCTGCATCTGCTACATCTGCAGCCCCAGCACAAAAGGGTTCTACAAAAACAGATTACAGATGTGCAATTTTCCACAGAGCAGCCCATGTCAATGGAATTGCAATGGTCCATTGTAGAATGCTCAGGAGAGATGGACATCCTCTGGTGTGCAACACAGAGATTATCCTATTTTATACTGGCTCACATGGGTTCCAAAACCAATGAATTGCTTCTTTTGAAGGTGCCAAAATTTCTTTTAACTCCAGGTTAAAAGAAATCAAGAAATAAAATAAAAATAATAAATCCACTCTCTTGAAAGAAAAAATTCTATTTTGCAAGCCATATGTAAAATTATATATCTACATATATATATATAAAATAGATAAGTTAATAACACATTAGTTAACTTTTAAAAAAAGTTACCTCATCTGCTTTTTCTCTCATTTGAAGACATTCATATTAAGTTTGTTCACTCATGGGTTTTATCCGCATTGTGTCTTTTTCATTCAGTTATCAAAAATGGAAAGAATTACCAAAAATGGAAAGCAGTATTCAGAAGTATTAACATGAAAAAAAATCTTATTTTTCCAGTGTTAGCTACCATGTAGAAAAGTTTAACTATGACAAACCGCAAGATTTTTTTCCTATTGTAGCTGCATACTTTTGCTTCAAAGCCATCAAGCAGCACAAGTTAGTAGCATAAGGATGATGAAAAGAAGTGGAACATCAAAATTAAAAATCAATGCTGCTGAACTTCATTGCTGTTGATGTATCAGTGAAACACCCTGCACTATTCCATGCATTGCTTGCTATGTTTGCTTTGAGAATTTTAAGCTCATGCATGCAGTGACGAACAAGAGTTTATCAACAACTTCCACTTCCAAAAATTCTCATGTAGTCAGTGAGTTTTGTTATGTTCTTTATAGAGTACGAAGTCCCTAATGGAGTATCAACTTTACAGCTGCTCTAATGCTGGACATATTAAACACAAACAGTGCACACTGCTTCCTAATGTGTTACATTTAAATCTCTTTAGTGCTGTCTATAAAAGATCGACTTATCTTTTTACTTCTATCATGAAAAAAGACCATACACGTACCAAGTTTTTTGGGGTTTTTTTTTGTTTTGAAGTTGAGCAATGGATTCTATACTTCACTTGGCTCTGCTACGGGCATTTTATGGTCAGTCATGACTGAGATGGTTAGCCTTGGGCATTTGAGTAACTCTGGAGTTAAATTTTCCAAACACGTGAACTGTTATTTTAATATCCAGTAGTAGTGACTGAATGACTTAGTTTAAGTTAAAAATGATGAAAACAAATTCACCAAACCAAAAAGACCAGTATTGAGATAGAAGAGAATCCAGCTTTATTTACAAAGGCTGGCTTTAACAGAATCTTCACTTTCTGAAATGCCCGTAGACAAGCAATACTGTACTAAGTTGGAGAGAAAGGAGAAACCTACAGTGCTCAAATACTTCCAATCGATGGAATCAGAATTTTCAGGTTGAGAATCTTACGTGCTGCAAGACATGATAAACCTCTAAGGAAATTTATCCCCCCTTTTGACATTTATTTTAAAAGTGTGTAGCAGAAAAGGTGCGTAAGACTTCAGTTCTAAGTGTAGAATATAGACAGGTAGCTTCAAAAGCCAAAGAACAGTATTCTGCAACAAGTGGTTCAAAGAATCTGATATATTTCTAGATGTCTTCCTACATGTATGACTTTCCTTAACCCAAGAACAGGAAATCAAAAAAACCTTAGGAAAAATGTTTGAGGAGTCATTAGAAGGCAAAGGAAACCAACCTATGAATCCATGTTTCTGGACTCTTTGGAAACTTGGTTAACGCCAGTTTTCCAAGATGCAAATCTTTTAGTGGATTTAAAGTGCCAGACAGTATTAATTCTTTCCTACAAAAGATAAAATAAATCTGTGTGAATAAAAGTAGTCTGAAAACAGAACACAAATCCCAATTACAAATTGCATGGCATTTCCTTTGTATCATAACATAACTTCACCATCAAACTACAAGAGTTTAAAAACCCTTTAGTGCATTAATCCATTCTGCTATACATATATATAGTATATACAGTATATACTATATATAAGTAAGTATTATGCATGTGTGCACAAAGAACTTTATCTTAATCTGAACACATACAACCCTTTAGTTCTCAAACCTACCAAGAAATTACTGAGTCAACTATCAGTAGGGTTACATATATGAATAAACATCCCTTCTTGAAATTAAGCCCTTAGATCACTGTGTACATCTGAAAATAGTCTTACACATAGCACACCTCCACACGTACTTTTAGTTTTTACATACTGTTCAAGATACAGTGTCAAGGTTCCCTAAATTTATAAAGAAAAGGGAAATATTCTCTGTGAGTAGAATGTTTTGCAAACTTAACAAAAAGACTGCAATTGTTCAGTTTACTTAAATGTAAAACAATCTTTGGTTAAAAAAAAAATTAAAATTTGCCCTGACAAAACTTAATGTTCATCCAACACAACTCTTCCTAGAGTACCTCTCACAGACAGAGCTAAATGAAAATCTGTACTTGTCCTTCTCACCTTCTTTGAACAGAATTCCCTCCCCCTCACCCTCTTCTTTCTAGGTTTTTTAACCCTTATTGCCTGTCCTGAGCATGTTTGTAGACGTGGCCTCATCACTGGTTACTCCAAGGGCATTAGTCTTCATATCCTATTCTCCAATCTAGTAGACAGCAGCTTTGTAAGTAAGTAAGTAAGCACGTAAGTAAGTAAGTTCCAAAGTTACCATCTGCAGAAAGAAAATACACATTTCCCAGAACCTGCAGAAGTCACAACTGAAAAAGGTGAGTGAAAGAAGCAGAAGCAATTTTGGCATGGGTTTGGGTGTTGGCTTTTCTAATAATTTCTGATTCATCATAATAATAGGCATGGCACTAGTAAAGTGAGGAGCAGATGATGAACTCTCTGACCAAAAGACCTCAGTGGGACAGGAGGAAATATATTCTGGAAAGATCTGCTATCAAATAAAAAGGCAAAACTTCTCTGCAGTTTGAAGCAGAAAACATAATGTTGTCCTAAAGTTATGGCCCGAGTCCCACAAACAAATTGATGTATTTCCTTTCTGTGAGTACATATTTTCTGTCTGACTTGGTAATTTTTAGTAGGAAACTGACTCCATCTGGTACTTCAGCTTTATGTTGCTGTAATTTAAACTTATAACCACAGTCAGAAGCTAATGGTTGCAACACTAACAGTGAGCAAATATTCCTTAAAACTGAAGCAGAGTGGGGAAATGTAGAAATCCTCATGGAAGTTTTGCTTCTGATATCTACTGGGAGATCTATTTTTATCTCAAGCAAGTTCCAGCATGCTTCAGATTGGATGATTTTAGCTGGTTTTTAACAGGCAGTTCAGGTATACCAATCAGAAGTGGCAGACTGACCATTCTGTGCCAGTGCACTCAAATTTGGAAAGCAGACAAAGATTGATTCAGGGTCAACATTGGAGTAGGTAGAACAACTGCCTCATTACTGCAAAGCATAAGGTGATCTTTTGGTAAAAATTACTTACTATACACACAGAATGAAAATACAGCCTAGCTCAGTCTGATACTTAAAACAAATACATGTACATATTTAACAAAGATCTAGATTACCAGGCCACCTACCTCCCAAAACCTAAACTTTCAGTGAAGAAATTGTTCTTTCTATATTAAAACATTCACTGTAAGTAAACAGCCCCATCTTTATATGCTTCAAACACTCTTAAAGTAAACTTCCTCTTTTACAAAGTTGAGGAAAAGCACAGACAAGATCCACCTTCACTGCAGTAGCAGAAAAGCTGGTTTTAGCTGTAATCATTTTCAAATGAGAGATTCTCCCATTCACAAAGGACTGTAGGCACTAGTATGACTGAAGTACCATACACTCCCCCATAAACCTCTTCTAAGCTCTATCAGTTAACATCCAAGTTGGGATATATAATTTCTAGCTCACTTTCTTGCCATGTGGATCATAGGTAATGTTTCACCCTTAAGGATTACGGCTCCCATAAAAATTAATCTGGAATCCTTTTGACTTGCCTTATGCTAACACCTTTGAAGTCATTCATATCTGAAAGCAAAATGTGACTTTTCAGAGTGTCTTGTTACCTAAAGTCTTTTCATCACTTGTACATGCCAGGAAGGATAACAGGAAGAAAAAAGGCATTTATGAAAATTATTTTACAATCACTTACATAAAAATTTGGGTCATTTTAACTTGCAAGTCTTTTCAACTTCTAAAAACACAGGATAACTGAATTTAGGATTGACAATTGAAGATATCTGTTATCCCGTTCAGTATGACAGGGGTTTCTCAGTTCCTAGGAAATGACACACCTACTCTTTAGCAAATCTTCCTCTGCCATATAATTACCTCTTGCTCAGGTCTCAGGGTTTTGGTTATACTCCCTGCCCTTCTGTAACTTTCCAGTCACTTCTAATTTAAATAAATAAATAAATAAACAACAAACACATGTAGTAGGTACATTACAACTGTTCAGAATAGTTACAAAGTCAATGCAGACCATCTATTCCTAGCTAGCCTAGATAACATGTTTAAAGTTCTGTGTCCTCCCATGCTTCATTAATCAGATACGATTTTCTGTGGTTGTAGCTGAGCTGAAAGGTTCATCTGTCTTCCATAACACCATTTTAGTCTTCTGACTTAGCTCTGCCAAGTCCTGTGTCCTTTCCTAGGAAGGGATTTCCTTTTCTCTTTCTTCATCAATCTTCAAGTTCAGTGCTACTGAGTCAAACACTATCTCTGAAGATTTCAGCAGAATGCAACATATGAAATAGGGATTAATCCAGCCTACAATGAAATAAATTACAAGAAAGACACAGTGTGCTGGGCTGCTCTTCAGTAAACAACTAGAACACTTTTTATTTTTTAGGCTACTTAGTCTATGATGCTTTTTCCCCTCTCAAAAATCGAGCAGTGAATTTTTATACAAAGAATGCAAGATGAACCTGGCATGACAAATATCATCTGAGCAACAAGAAACCAATCATCCCACAACAAATCCATCATGTTCTGCAAGCAGAGTGCAAGTCTCAATTACAATTAATTCTCAGATCAGACTACCTCAAAATAAGGATTTATCACCAGCATCTGAAGAACACAGTCCTCTGTTCTGTGACTGATTATGCACACATTTGGCTAGCTTGACCTGTAATTTCAAGAGAAGCTGAAATATACGTCAACATAACTAAAGTGCCTCCACTTCAAATGAGTAAACTCCTAGCAGAAGCCTAGAACAATGTAGGGTCAGATGCAGCAAAGCAGCTCCTTTGCTAGTGTGGGCTCCCTGGTAACCTCCACAGATATTGACTGGGTTTGTGTAACAAGATCCCTCTGGATGCTAAACAGAGCTCCAAAGACAGACTGACTGGTAGGTCACTAGTCACCAGTTCAGGGAGTAAGGCCAACTCCTGCAATAATTTTTATGTTGCTAAACCATAAATATCATAAAAGATAAAACAATCCTCATCCATATTCCTTAGCGTTTTTAATTCCACTTACAACTTTGAACTACTCTTCTAGTGCACATAAAAGCTAACTCTTTCAGCTGTCAGGCACAAAAAAAAAAGAGCCAGACTGATAAGGATGAATGCATGTGCAATAACAAAAAATTCCACAAAACATACACTAAAAATCAATTATAAGTACCATAAGATGAGATTACTGTTAACAGCTTCTATTATGTACAAAAGTTCCTAATTCCATTTTATTATTTCAAAGCCACTCAAGCTATACATTTTCATGACAGTAAACCCCTTGCTATCACATTCATCCGCCTTTTTTAGACCTGAGAGACAGAAAGATACAGAACACAGCAGAATCCTTCAGAACTGTATCATCAGTGAAAGAAGAAAAAAGAAAAAGTTGAATTTGCCATAACTAGGGCTGACAACTAGAAGAAGCCATCATCTTTCTAGGTCATTTTGCTAATGCACCACCTGCAATAGTGCACTATAACTACAGAAGTCCTGTTTTCCATTAAAAAAAGAAGGACAGAAGTTAAAATAAAATAAATTTCCATTAAAAAAACAGGACAAAAGTCCTGTTTTCCATTTCCTAGAGACTATCATAGTATTGTCAGCCCTCTAGCTCTTCTGAAATCACAGCTTTTAGACTATCTCCAGTCTTACCTAGGCAGGAAAAAGAAAATATTCCTCCGACACTGAAATGTACAGAATAGTTGTAAGATTACAAAGGTGTAAGGAATTGGTGTTTCTGCAGCCCCTGAAGAGCAGGGAGGTAAATTCCTGTTCCTCCTCCGACTGCTGGTCAAGTTCTGAAGCTTGATCAATGAAAGGAGAGAGGAGGGGGGAAATGTGTACAAAATAAAGGGTAGACACCTTCTCCCCCTCTCTAGCAGTGTATCTGCAGAGCCTCGATAGCCTGCACTGGCAGTGGCAGCAAACTGGGCTGGAATCTCGAAAGAACTCAAGAGGTAAAAATGAGAACAGTGAATACACACAGCAGACATCAGTTGAGCACTGCCCTCGTTAACTGCAGGAGGAAAGAGGACTTGTAGTTCAGTGGGACTTATACACCCTGAAAATCTGGTGCAAACGTGCCTCCACATGCAGCACTATAATCTTCAGCCTACAGTTAAGAAAAAAAAAAAAACCAAAAACAACAACAAAACCCCCCCATACAAACAAAAACCCCCCAAACAAACCAACCGACCCAACAGAAACCAAAAAAAAGGACAGTTTCAAACTATTTGAAATATACAGGAAAGAAGAGATTTTAAAGTCCTTCAGCACTTTTCAGCTGACAAGTTCTTGCTTCATCACCAACAACCACTTGAAGCAAACCTTTCAGCTGAATCCTGTAAGGCCCAGGTCTTTTGATGGCATTTTCTGAGTGCAACATACCTCACATTCCAAGCAGTGGTGAAGTCGGGGTTCAGCAGTAGCAGGGTACACGTGATATCTATCAGCTCTAAAACGATGGAACAAGAGACATTAAGATTAGTAATGATTTGCACACAGCAGCGATATCTTTGCAGTCCCTTACTCCCTTTCATTCCTCAAAGTCTCTCTGCTACAGGCTGCTGTACCTCTGTAAAAGCCTGCTCTCATTCCAGAAGAAATGATAATTTAACTTAAGAGGGAGCAAGATCTGCCATATCCTCAGTATTTAAAATGATGAACTTTTCATTATTTAAAATAATGAAGTGAATATGCCCTCAGCAAGGAAGAATCATTATATAAATCTTTGAGTATTCAGTGATTTTAATCACACACACAATATATGAGAAGCAGAGAATTCTTCAAAGAAAATCCAAAGATTTCTAAATACTATACAGAAGTAAAAACATTACTATTTTAGAACAAGTCTAAACTGCAGATGGCTGACATAAACCATACTGTTACAAAAAATACACACACTATAAAAAACTTGGAGCTAAAAAATGAAACCACAGCTATGAATAAGGATTACAAAAGTACTCCCTATTGAACTGTATAGAAAACACTTTAAATACATTGTGAAGCGCATCGGACTGAAGTTTTAAAGACTAATTCCATTAAAAACCCAAAGCAAAACCCAAAACATTTGCTTAAATGCATCCCTGCATTTAAGCACTGTATACTGTAAATTTACGTATTACACTTATTTTTAACGGTCATAAAAACTGAATGTAACTATCCAATTTAACTGTCAATTAAATTCGGCAACATTTTCTCCTAATCACCCTGCATTTAACATACTAATTAGATCATACTTCAGGTGATATCCAGCAAATAAGAGGTACTTCATTCTTTGAAGGAAAAAGAAAATGATGGTATCTCATGGAAACATATTTCTGGTTAGTGCAGTTAATATGACTGCAAAATGAGCTGTTAAGAAATTTAACAGCAACAGGACATAAATTAATTCACAATGCAAAGGACACGGATTCATGTACCTTTGAAACAAGAGCCAATGGTTCAATAGATCTAAAAGTGAAATCCCTTCATATACTACTGTGTGTCTGATTGATCATTTATATCCAGCAAAGAAATTTTGTGTTTTCCCTTATGTTCTTCCTTATGAGGAACATGCTAAGCCACCAAAGCCACCATATAATGCAAGGGGTGATGGAGGGTGTGGTGTGGAATTCTTTACTGTACTGTTGACTTTGCACTAAGATATAATGTTTTGAAAAGTTTCTCAAGGAACAAACTTAACTTTCTATTTTCACAAGTTTTAGGTAAACCCCTCTTTGCTGCCAACGAATAAATACTTCTCATACGTGCAAAGCTTCTTCCTAACTTGCTGCCTGAATGTACAAATATTATTCCTTGGTTTATGCAATTCCTGAACCAGCAAAGTATTTCTACACCCATTTAATTTTATGCTGCTGACTATCCCAATTCAAATAACCAGGATTACTCACATACACAAAATCAACATACATAGAATTAAACATCTGCTAAGTGTTTTGTGGCTACTGTTTCAATTTTACATTCAAAAATTAGTTTGAAACATTTACCAAAACATCATTTTTATAAGGCGGTATAGTTAAAATTGTGAGCTGTGATTGTTTTATGTACACTTTCCATTTTACCTACAATAATGGTTTTAGTAATTATTAAGTACTCCACTGTACATGTTATATGCACACTATGCAAAAGTTTATTATAGCCTATTTCAGTCTTTTGAATACTTCTCAGAAAAGATTTTTCAAAGTCTACTTAAAACAATACAGCTTTAGTCATGATTTCCAGTTATGACCATTATGGTAATATCAAAGGTCTGTAACAGCATCCAATCACGTCCAACATAAACAGTTTGTTGGCATTTTGTCCATTTTCCCATTACAGAGGTTCACCGCATCCCCAACATTATCAAAGGAAACATGCAGATAAAAGGAAAATCTCCAAATAATAGAGATCTCCAAGTAATCTCCAAGTTCTTTCATGTCACTGTTCTTGGATGTAACAGATGAAGATTTATGAAGCATGGTTCTGAGCCAGAGATGTGAAATGACATAATACAGTAACCTCTAAGCCACTTTTCAGTAGAAAAAATGGCACAATTTAATAACCTCTGAGCCACTTTTTAATAGGAAGTCTTATGACAGCTGGCACACAATGACAGTAGTTGCCAACTATTCCCATGCCAGTAACAAAACCCAACATCTTTTATTTATAAATTATTTTCTACCAGATACGTTTCAGGCAAACTATTGCATTATAGGTGCTCACACTGAGTATCTTTTTGCATGTTAAAGTCTCCCCAACTGCAAAAGGACAAATAAAACAACACAGTTTTAGCTCACCTTAAAATATGGCTATATCCACTTTTTTAGATATTCTGGGAGTAGTTTGTAGCAATTTCAGAAAACCATCTTGACATAACATAAATAGTATGCATTCATAAATACATACATTAAATAAACTGGAGAAAGGATAAAAACATATTGTGAAATTTATATTTCTAAACTCAAATAACATGCAAGAGGACCAGTCATGATTCTGGATTCCAAGTATGCAAAAGAAACTGTAACTAAATTAAACATTTGTGTCACTAACCTACCAATGAGTAACTATAAAGCACTTCCTTCTTCCAGGATCCTATCAGAAAAAATATCAGATACCACATCAGAAAGCAGATACTTGAATCAGCGTCCTGTTGTTCCCCTCTGTTCTATTTTAAATGGCTTACAATGACTCAAACAAAACAGAAGATGTGAGTAGAGACCACACCTGTAATCACCGATTATTATAAGCTTCAACAGAATACACAATTGAGTTCTGAAGCAGTAATAGACAAATCTATCTCTTTACTAGTTATAAAAGAAAACAACAACTCTGCCAAATTCCAAGCATGCACTTTCACCTACAAAAGCACCCTGGAGTCAAATCCTTGAGAATACTTAAGAGAAAACCATAAGATCCATTGACAGAGTATATATACTTATGACACCTTAGAGACAAGCCCAACTGGGAAAGACTTCCACCTTCATTCGCTCCACCACAGCAGTTCAGTTTCTGCTCAAACCTTTTATCAAATGTGAAACTCAATTATGGTAAAACATACTAAACTCCCTTACAAACAGGATTTTAATATGAAAGATCTGACTGCGTTCTACAGGGGTTACAGAAAACCTCAGCAGACATGAAAATGCTGCAGATCACTTCTTCTCACGTATCTGAATTTTTTTAAATAAAGAGATAAAACAGAATGGAGTTTCATTTTCAAAAGAAAGTCAATTAAATTGCAGGCACTAGCCTAAAATCCATGCTACTGCAGTATTCACTGACAGTTTTCTGAGCTGCATTTTGAGAGGAAGTGCTCTGCAAGGTTTCACCTGTGAGGGAAGCAGAGGCCCACAGACACCATCCCTGTGGCATCGGCAGGTGTGACACAGGCATCACAACAAAGCACCTGCACTGCTGCGACTGCAGCAGGGTGCTAGCACACAGATCATGGCTATCAGCTGTCTTCACACACCCAAAAATGTGACAAAGATCTCATTGTTTGTAGTTTGGCTTCAAACAGTAAGTTCTTCTCTGCGTGGAAATTTCAATGGTTAGGCTTTACAACAACACTTGAGACCAAAATGAAGTCTCCCTGCTGAAGATCTGCAGCATAATAACAATACACATCACAAACTCCTACCTCAGACCTCCAAAACCACCGGTGTTGCTAAGATTACCTGTGCTAGTAGGTTCAACCCTTTAAATGCTAAAGTTTGTATTTAGCTCTGTGTCAGTCAACATTAATTATATTCTCTTTATTAAAGCTCTGTTTATTGAATTTTGTAATTGTCTGCATTACAAATTTCAGATTTGGAATGACATCATAATCACCAGTTTCTATCAGAACTGAATAAATCACTAGCAGCAGGTTGGTGGCAGTTATCAAAAAGGTCCTGGTCTGAACGGGTCTAAACATAAACCACAAAGACCAAGAAGAAATTGAAGTTACTTATGTTAGCAATACACATCCCCTAGGAACAGAGTATTTTAAATATGTCTGTAATGAGAAAAAACATTCAAGAAAACAAATTATGTAAAAATAAAAAAATAAAGGGCAATATAGAATTTATGAAGTCCACAAAGTATTTTTCATAAATAATCACATAATGACATGACATCAACCCTCTTGCAGGAGTGTGGAAAACACAATGACACAAACACACACAGAAAATCTGCTAGACAAAAATAAAACACGATCAATGGGTCAGTCACACCCAGCAACACATGAAAACACTTCAAGTTCTTTAAGCTACTCTTTAGAAGGGTAATTAATTCTAGGATCAAGTCAGTACACTGTTACTCTAACACCACCCAAGGTGCACAGAGAGCACTGGAAGACTATGTCGCCAGGAGAATGGGTTCTTCCCTATCATGATCTGTCTTGCCTGCCATTTCATGCTACTCTTTCCAAAATGCTTGCATTATGTATCCATATGTTTGTAATAAGGAATCAAAGTGTGTTTAACAAATCAAACAGTGTTTAATAAATCTAGACCCCACCACCAGGCAGACAAAAGCAGGCAAGACTCTGTGCTTTAAGAATGCTCCCACTCCAAGATCCACTAATTACCTCAATCTTCTTTCTCCATATCATCTCCAAAGGCAAAAGAAGCTCAAGTGCACATCTGCAGACCTGACCAACACCACCTGACTGTGCCATACACTACATTTTAATGAGCATTAGTGCACAACTGGCTTCATCCACTTAAAGTGAAACAGGCTACAGCAATAAAATATTAAAGAAGAGAAAAGCAGATATCAAAGGAAAAAAATACTTCTCCTGATCTACACAGACCTCCTCTCAAAATTTACCTAGTAGTAACAGCAAGTAGTACAATGTCAGTTATGACTAGGTGCTAGAGTCTGCACCAGATGTATGCTAGCATCCCACTATTTAAAACATAATTCTTTAACTCACTACTGCATAAAGCAGCCAGGGAGATTGGCTTTGCTATAGCTGCAATCAACACCGAATGAACGGTGGCTGTTTGGTATGCTTCAGGACGGGAAGACAGTCCCACACATTTTGAAGCAAAATGGACACAGTCAGTGCTTTATGGACAGGTTAGTTACACGTAAGTAGAAAAAAATTAAAATATGGTAACAGTCCAAAACTGAAACCCAGCTGCATGTGAGATACTAAAGATCTGAACTCTGTGAGTGGTCATAGAGTGCTCTTCAACAGAACAGATAGCCCTCTTTCTGAGGGATGTGAAAAATACCATAGCAAGCAAAAGATACTAGAAAGAAGTCTCTGAAAAAAAAAAAAAAAACAGAAATCAGATACTGAGCAGCCCAGCATAAGAACATTCTTTATTCCAACTGCTATTTAGAAGATACTATAAAAATAAACTAAAAACTTGTTTCATAAGCTAGTTATTCTTTTTCATTCTTACTCTGAACAGGACACCTTATAAGCAGTCAAATACCTCCTATGTCACACCAGTTCATAATTCTTTATTTTGAATTTTTTAAAGAACACATACAAAAGAATTTTTCATGCAAG